ATTTTATTTAAATCCAGAAATGGATAACTTCTTAAACATCTTACTTTTCTTCTAAAAAGTTAGTTTAAAATCCTCGTGTTGCCAAACACTCAAACTGGAGGCCATAAAGTTTCAAAATTAAGGCGTATACCTTATAAAAAAAATATTCTGTACCAGAGGCGATTAATGCCAAAGGCAGAGAGCTGTTCTAACGTTTAACGAAAGCGGGTCCTAGGATTTTTAAAGGAACTGGATCCAAAAATCGATCTGGGATCTAATTCCTATACAGTTCTCACGTGATTTAAAGATCGAATCCCTGCCGGTCCTTGAAGGACTAGACCGAACCGGCTAGGATTCAATCCCAAAGGACCGATTAACATCTCTACTAAAGATCAACTATATTTGATTTACTAGTATTTTGAATACCCTATTGTTGGGTTCCCTTATGTTAAGCAAAAATGGACCCTCTGCATAGGTCTAGAACCAATCAAATTGTAGGATCCTTGTGTAACAACAACAATGACGAAAACCCAAGATGTTATAGCTAATCCAAAATTTTACTATGACAACCACCTTCTGGCCTCTAAGTAAAAATGCTTAGAGCGAAATTTTAATTATAGAACATGTTCTTTTATATCAAAAATTATAAAATTTCTAATGTTATAGCAGATTGGAGCGGAGGTCCGATTTTGCTTGACATAAGGGAATTCCCTATTGTTCTGTGGAAAATCTATCACCATAAAAATATGCAATGTGTCGATCATGTCATGATTTGTGTAATATTGACGGTTTATATTTTATCGATAAGATTCAGCCAATCAAAAGTCTTGCTTATCAACCAATGAAATCAAACTTGACTTATGCTGCAAAACCACCTAAATGAGCTCTATCTTCAATAATTACGGTATAATATTAATTATAGCATAATGATGCCTTCCGAATTAATGAATGCTTGGCTTGAGCGTTTGAAAAAACTTCGGAGTCGAATGGTAATTTGGTAATTTTTGAATATGAAAAATAAAAGAAAAAAAAAATTATCTGATCTTTTTTATGTATTAGGATAAGTCTGAACGGGCAAATCGGCAAGAACTATATAAAGAGCATCACCGTAAGAAACTTAATCCAAAAGAAAGAATTAGACAGGAGCTTAAACGAGAGGAAGCAGAAAAGTTATTAGCCCGACAAGTACATATTCGATAATATTGATGCTTTAGATTAAATTTTCAATTACATATTAGCTTTATATTCTTAGAAAGCAGAAGAAAATAATGAACGAAAAAGATTCTGGAAGTACTTTGCAGAGTCAGTTGAGAAATGGAAAAAGAAGCAAGAAAAAAAATTAAAAAGATCTGACGTCGCATTCACCGGTAAGTTCAATTATATTATTTTTTTGTCTATATAGCCTTCTTACATATTCATTATTTATACCATGATCATTTATTATAAATATCAAGATTATAATAAATGATTTTACTCCTGACCTAAATGCATATAATGAAAAAAAGGCTGCTGCTATGGAATTAGCGAGTGTTGTCACTGCTGCAGATGGAGAAGTTGTTTCAATTGATGCAGAGTCTAGATTTTATAGAGATGCCCAATTCTTTACAATATCAGTCACACGATTTGTCATATGTAAAATTTTCTATTATTGAGTCAAATGATCGACGCACCTAAATTTTATATGTAAAATTTAGGAAAATTTTGCTT